CAAGGTGGTGGGATGGGTAAAGAGGCTTGCTCCTTTGATTTCCAACTGGATCAAACATGACAACCAGGGGAAACGTCTCTTCTGTAGATAAAGTTCATAGCCTTGAGCAATTTTCTAGCCAGAAGAGATAGAAGTAGGGCAAAGTAAAAAGACAGGGAAATTAAGGGGGAGCCGCCCTCAGGGTGGAGGGAGAGAGTGAACTGCTCCAAGTTGTCCTCTGTGTTCCACATGCTTACTGTGCCACTAGTTTACACAGGCAAACATGTACACACATACAAATAAATAAGCATAATAAAATGTTGTTTTTTTTTCTTTTTTTTAAAGATTTATTTATTTATTTTATTTATGAGTACACTGTAGCTGTCTTCAGACACACCACTAGAGGGCACTGAATCTCATTACAGATGGTTGTGAGCCACCATGTGGTTGCTGGGATTTGAACTCAGGACCTCTGGAAGTACAGTCAGTGCTCTTAACCACTGAGCCATCTCTCCAGCCCAATAAAATGTTGTTAAAGGATGTGAAAATGTCAGTGAACTATGCTTAAGGCTCGAGCTATACGCCTTTATCCATCATGAGTTGTAAATCTGCAATTTTCAAGAAATTTCACAAATGACCTCATTTCCTGTAAAGGACATGTATCAGCCCATGTGAAACTCCTTCGAGGCACGGTTCTACCTTATCAGATTGAAATCCTGTCCAAGGTTCCTCTGGAGCCATCCTATAATCTCATTTATCAAAAGAGAGAAAAATAAGATTGGATAGATGTCTCAGTAGTTAAGAGCCTCGCTACTCTTGCAGATGACATGGGTTCAATTTTCAGTACCCACATGATGGCTCACAGCCATCTGTGACTCCAGTCCCAGGGGATCACATGAATGTGCGCATGCACACACACAGAGACACATACATACACACACACATGCACACGCCATCTCACATAGACTTATATGTAGCCAAATGAAGTACACAGTAAATAAATAGAAAAAAAATGCAAAAAAAATGTTTTTTTAGCAACCTTTTGAGATGTTACTTGAAACCACCGAAGCTGTGCATACAGCCACTGCTAAGACACACAAGCAAGGTTCTTTTGATTTCCTATTTGCATGTGTCTTATCTTTTCCTGGAGTGTCTCTATTGATCTTGAGCTTAAATCTATGTAAAATTTCCTTCCAAAAATACTCTAAATCTGCTTCTCTCTTTTTTGTGTCCAAGTCAAGATATACTGTGTGTTTGTATAAGTGGTTATTTTATTTTAGTTCATTATTTTTCTATTGTTTGCATTTGTTTATTGGCTTTAAAACTTTTACTCACACACTATATTTTGATTATATTTTCCCTTTCCCCAACTCCTCCTAGATCCTCTTTACCTCCCTCCCCACCCAATTTTATGTTCTTTCTCTATCTTTCAAAAAAATTCAAAACAAACATAAAGATAAAATATACTAAATACAAAACAAAGACACAAAAACCCATGCAGTGCTTGTGGGGTTGGCCCATTACTCCTGAGCATAAGATTTGCCCTAGAGTGTGGTCCATATACCTAGCATCACTTCACTCAAGAAAACTGGGTTTCCCCTCTCCCAGCAGGTATTAATTGCAAATAGCTTCTTGGTTAGGGAAGGACTTGCTGGGATTTTGAAGGGCTTGAACCTGTGCAGGTCTTCCGTGTGCTACTGCAGTCTCTGGGAGTTCATACGTGCATCAGCTCTGTTGTGTCTGTGACTTAGTTAGGGTATTACTGCTGTGAACAGACACCGTGACCAAGGCAAGTATTATAAGAACAACACTTAATTGGCCAGGCGTACAGATTCCGAGGTTCAGTCCATTATCGTCAAGGTGGGAGCATGGCTGAATCTAGGCACACACGATGCAGGCAGAGCTGAGAGTTCTACATCTTCATCTGAAGGATATTAGTGGACGACTCACTTCCACTTCCAGGCAGCTAGAATGAGATTCTTAAAGCCAATACCCACTGTGCCATGCCTACTCCAAAAAGGCTACACCTACTGGAACAGGGCCACACTTTCAAATGGTGCCACTCCTTGGGCTAAGCTATCACAGTTTAGAAGATGCTATTTCCTTCGAGTCATTTACCATCTCTGGCTCTTACAATCTTTCTACCTCCTCTTCTACATAGATCCCTGAGTCCTAAAGGGAACAGTTTAATAAACACATCCCATTTAGGACTGAGTGCTTCAAAGTCTCTCCCTCTCTGCACATTGTCCAGTTGTGGGTCTCTGTGTTAATCACTATCTACCACAAGAAGAAATTTCTCTGATGAGGGCTGGGTGATATACTGATATTTGCATATAGGGATGTTATTTGGAGTTGTCTTATCACTATGTTCATTTAACAGAATAATGCTATTAAGTTTTCCCTTGGGACTCATGACCTATCTTGTCCCAGGTTCTTGATCATGTTAGCATGTCAGACATGGTTTCCGTATCAGGGAGTGGACCTTAAATCCAATAAAAATGTGTTTGGTTGCTCCCATAACATTTGTGCCTCCAGTGTGCCTGCCAGTGGGTACACCTTGCAGGCAGGTCACTGTTGGACATCCAAGGGGGTCACAGTTTGATGATATTGATGATTGCTTGTCTCCCCTGGTAGCGTGCATAGCACCTTCTAGCACAGTGAACATTAATCAGTAGAAATGAAACTTCAAATTGGGTATCAGCTCAATTTCTCTCTGTTTGATCACATTAGTGAATTCTGTCTTTAGCAATAGGGCCTTCACATCAGGATTTGGAGAGTAACTCTTACCAATTAATAAATGGAACCCCATGAAGCAAAAACAAAACAAAAAAACCCCAAGCAAACAAAAACCAAAACCAACCAACCAAACAACATTTGGCAAAAGACACTACTATTCAATCAAAACAGCAACATACAGAATAGGAAAAAGTCTTTATCAATTATATGTCTGACAGAGGGTTAGTATCTAGAACATACAAAGAACTCAAAAAACTAAACGTTGAGAAAAGAAACGACTCATATTTAAAATGAGGTACAAAACAGTTCTCAGAAGATGAAAGACAGATGGCCGAGAAACACTTTAAACGTTCAACATCCTTAGCTGTCATGTGGGTATGTCAACCCAAGTAACAGCAGCGCTTATGTAGCTAGCAAGAGGCTTGCAGGAAGGAGGGACCTTCCGAGGAAGGAGAAACAAAGTACAGTGATCCAGAGATATAAAGAGGAAACTAGGAGGATTAAATGGGGACACAGAGGACAAAGGCAGGGGAAAGAATATGGATGAGGACAGCTGACACAAAAGGGCTTTGGAGGGCTGGTGAGATGGCTCAGAGGTTAAGAGCACTGACTGCTCTTCCAGAGGTCATGAGTTCAAATCCCAGCAACCACATGGTGGCTCACAACCATCGGTAATGATATCTGATGCCCTCTTGTGGGGTGTCTGAAGACAGCTACAGTGTACTTACATATAATAAATAAATAAAAATTTAAAAAAAACAAAAAAAAAAAACAAAAGGGCTTTGGAAAAGCCACGTGGAAACCTGCTGCTGTTGAAGTGTGTGTGTGTATAATTTATATATAATATAAATATTATTTACATTATATTTATATTATATATAATATAAATTTTATTATATAAAATATACATTATATAAATATAATGTAATTATTTATATTATATTTATATTATACATATATAATATAAATTTTACACACACATATGTGTATATGAAAGGAATCTAAATGGAGTCACCATACAGTGAGATGGATAATGCACAAGTAAACATCTTTTGCCGTCTAGTAGACTCTCTAGTGCCAGGAACGAGTTACATCTTGTTGAGCCATTGGTTAAGGGGGTCCCTTAGACATCACCCCAAGAGTTTCAGGCTACTATATTTACTAGTGCTGTACAAATCATGTTTTCCTCTGAGTAGAGTTCTCCGAGCAGAAGCTCTCAGGCTGCTGTTGGGAGCTGTGTGTCTCTGGCTCCCGCCCCACAGTTGCTGACTGAACCACGATTTCTGGCTCAGGCTCCTAAGACGGTTTGCTTATAGACTATTGATGACACTGCACCAAGGTGCCGGAAGAATGGTGCTCAAAAGAATAAAGGGAATTAGAGATTATAGATAAACTGAAAAACAAGGAAAAAGCAAATAAAGCTCCATGATTTATGCTTCAAGCATCTAACTTTGCAAGAAGACAAGTTTGCCTTATCTTAAGTTCTAATATCTTAGAAAGAGAGCTACTTATAGCTATCTGCCTCAATCCTACCAACAGATATGTACATACATGTTAGAGCAGGTGGGGATTCAGATTATCAATTCAGAGATTGGACATCAGAGAGCTGCCCCAGACTGGCTGGCATCACCGGGAGGTTAATCAAAGCTCCTTCCTTAGTCTGACATCGTTCCATCTAGTACCGTTTAATTATTGCCAGTGACTTGGACGGCACAAATCCTGGGCTCTGTAAACATTCTGCTTTAGATAACGATATTTGTTTGTTGCCTAGATGCAGTGGGTTTGAGTCATGGCTGCGATAATCTTTAGTGCATTGTAAAATCTTCAAACAGAAGAAAATGAAGAGGTATTCATCATCCAAAAACCCCCAGGACTTTCAGCTGTGTCACTGAAGACTGGAGGCTGAGGCTACCCAGTTTACAGCCTAACTCTACCTGCAGACAAACCCTCGCAGCTGAGACTAGGCAGAGCAAGAAACCAAGATGGATAACGTTTGGATCAACTTCAATTTCTTTGAATTTCCAACCCCCAAGCACACAGGAATGAGATTTTTGGACTTTGATTCTGTTGACCTCTGAAATGTTTGGATTAATTTGCATACGGCTTTAATTTTTAACTTCAATTTTCTCCTAGGAAAACCCATTTAAGAAGGCAGTTATCGTTTCAATCTGGAGCTTTGCATGTTGCTGGCATTTTCCCGATTAGCGTATTTTTTATTATTTTCATCTCAGCGCCAGTGGTTGATGAGCTATGCTGGATAACGTACGTGGAGAGTGGGCCAGGGAAACAGAGCAGAAGGTCCAGTTTGGGACAAAGATTTTAGAATTAATTTAACACATTATTCTGGCCCATTTTAGTGTCTTCTCTTTAATAAATGCCAGCCAAAATATTCTGGAAGAGTTAGACCTGGCTTCGGGGAAGAAGTTGTGTGACGGTGAGATGAAGCTTGAGGACTTTTAGCCATGTCCCCCGAAGAGAGCAGCCGTACCACTAGTTAACGGTCAGACCTAATGGAGTAAAAGAACAGATTGTGCCTGTGACTCATTGTGACAAAGTCTTTCCACCTTTGTATTCAGTCCCCTTTTCAGGACGTGTCAGACTGACAGCAGAGCAGGCAGTACTGGGGAATGTCACCGCGCTGCTTCTGCTCGCCGTTCAGATCTACCCACACACCACTGCATGCTAAGAATGTGTATTTGGCCCCACTCCTATGTTGTGAAGTATCGAAGGAGAAGCTCTCTGTCTAACTCGGCTATACAGGGATGCTCACGGTGGCCCGCGCTGCCTGGGACCGAACGGAGGCTTGAATAGCTGCAGGTATCCAGAAATATGACGCCTTCTTACCTTCAGGTAAAAGAATGGGGTGTGGATACCAACTCTGTTTTCAGGTATTGTGCTGTACAGGCAATATTTTATTTCTATTTATCTTTTCATTTGTTTTCAGTCGGTCCTTAACTTGAAGTGGGGATATAAGGATCACTGGGCTTTACGTTTTATTATTATTAATCGTTGTCATCGTCATCATCGTCATCATCATCATCATCAGGGTCTCATGTAGGTCAGGCTGACCAAGAACTGCTTACTTAGACAAGGCTAGCCTTGAACTCTTGACCCTCCTATATGTACCTACTATGTGCTGAGATCACAGGCATGCACCACTGCACCTGGCTTCTCTGTTAGCTTTTGTAAGTAGAGCTGACAGGATTCGCTTGCTAAGTAGAATGTGAGATTTAAAGGAAAAATGGCAAAGATGATCCCAAGCTTTGTCTTGAGTGAGTCGGAAAATGCTGCTGCTCTCAGTCAGCGATACAGGAGCCCTGATTCTGAGAGCAGAGACGCACCTTAGGTGAGAATGGCTGCTTTGGAGGAGCCTGTGCTGTGGGAATGGTTTCCTGCGGGTGGGATGGCCAGAGAGTCAGGCAGAGATCACTGGTAAGAGTGGATGTTAGTAGAGTGCGCATACAGTGAGGGGGGTTGACCACCGGGAGGCAGACTAGTAAAAGTCCATGACCAGCTGGATACGCTCACGAAGATATAGATGATGGGTCAGGAGAGGAGCCGAGCTTTCCAGTGTATGGACTTGCCCACATAAAGATCAGTTCCACAAAAGTGTTCATTTTTTATAGATCCTGCCATCCTCAATAAGACAGCTCTATCCTCAGTACAAGCATGCAGGTTTTGGGAAAGAGAAATGAAAAGACGAGTTTAGGGCTGGAGAGATGGCTCAGTGGTTAAGAGCACTGACTACATTTCCAGAGGTCCTGAGTTCAAATCCCAGCAACCACATGGTGGCTCACAACCATCTGTAATGAGATCTGATGCCCTCTTCTGGTATGTCTGAAGACAGCTACAATGTATTCATGTATAATAAATAAATAAATAAATCTTTAAAAAAAAAAAAAGAAAAAAGAAAAGATGAGTTTAGCTAGAGCCCCATCTCCTGTTTGTGAGACTGTAGAGCAGGAGCTAGGATGGTCCTGTGGGTTGGGGTGGCCTTGATTTTAGACAGGAGAAGCTGAATCCAGGTGGCAAAACGTTTCCTATGAGGAACCAGCCCACAGGGTCACTATTGCAACAATGTAGCTTTGCTTTGAACAAAGGCAGAGGTAGTCCTTAGAAAAGTGGGCGTGGTTGTGATCTGGGAAAGCTTTACTTATGAAACAGGCACAGGGCTGGATTTGGATCATAGGCCATAGCCCTTGTGCCGACCTGTGGCAACTGTGTGTGGGTGAGGCTATCTTTTTTCAACCCTCAGTAGAGTGCAATGGTTAGCTCTAAGACTACTTAACAAAGGGGGCCCAAGGTTGAGGGGAAAGCGGTGTTAGTAGGTGTACAGGTCAGAGGGGCAGGAAGAATGTGGTTACATATAACAACCCACTGAGAGCTGTCAGTGGAGAGGCACTCTCTGGGGCAGGATGTCTGAAGTTTTCAGTGCTCTAGCCAAAGCAGAAGAGGACACAAAAGAAAAAGAATATGGTGTAGGCCATGTCCTCCTGCTACGTTAGCATTGCAGGCTGTGAAGGGAAAACTGCAGTCAGAAGAATAGAGTCTGCCTCTGGGAAAAGATATACCACTGTCCACCCCTTAAGGGTTAATCCAGTTGAGCCAATCAGCAGGCCAAGAACCACCCTCAGGAAGACAGGTTCACCTTAAATAATTCTAAAAATAGTATAAAATAAAAATAGTATTAAATGAAGAAGATAGGGGGAGTAATTATCCTTTTAATGAGATAGCATGCTTTTCCTTCCCAGAATTCCTTCCTGCCCTAGTACATATAGTCTCTATAAACTGCCATGAAGTTCTGTTGGGTCTGTCTGATATTCAGAGTCCTGTCTCGGAAAAGGTGTGACTTCTCCTTTTTCTTCTCTTCTGTCTTTCGTTGGATGCTGCCCAGAATGTAAGCTTTTTTTCCCTTCTGGTACTTCAGGCTCTATTTACTCTTCCTGTAAAGTCCCCCTCCCTATCCTGTGGCGTGTGCCTAGTCTGAAGCTGTGTGCACTGTGTGGCTGACCTCCATGTCTAACACAAACTGATACTATGGCCCTTTCTCTCTCTTAGGCTCCAATCTATGAATGGGATGGTTTGTGTATGCTTGGCTCAGGGAGTGGCACTGTTGGTAGGTGTGGCCTTGTTGGAGTAGGTGTGGCCTTGTGGGTGTGGGCTTTAATACCCTTGTCCCAACTGCCTAGGATTCAGTCTTCTACTAGCAGCCTTCAGATGAAGATGTAGAACTCTCAGCTCTGCCTGCATCACACCTTCCTGGATGCTGCCATGCTCCCACCTTGATGATACTGGACTGAACCTCTGAACCTGTAAACCAGCCCAAATTAAATGTTGTCCTTTATAAGATTTGCCTTGGTCATGGTGTCTGTTCACAGCAGTAAAACCCTGACTAAGACAATGAATCTACAGTACAATCTCGAACACACACCCTCTGTGCTCCATGAACTTTACTTTTGGAATGGTGGCCACTGAGTTTCTAGGACCCTAGCTCTTCAAGAAAGGCTCCAAAGACATCCAGACATTCTTGTATCACTTATGACCACTTACCTACCTTCATAATACAGACTTCCCATCCTCTCTTACCCATCAATATGAGTAAGACTGAGTAAGATTGAAGAAAGAGTATTTGTAAAGCTTTTTATTTTAGCCCATACTAGGCCATAGGAAAGGGTCAGTGGATTGCTAATGCTCTGGACTGGGAAGGTGGACACAACAGATTCGAGGTGGAGTAACTGATAGCTCAGGTAGACTAGGATGGACGCAAAAGGTGGGACGAGAGGAGGGAGCTAGACAACAGTTTACTGCTGAGGGGACACCTAGGAACATCTGCAGTTCTCATTGGTGTGGCCTCTGCTCATTAATCACTCAGAGATGGGGCAGTTTGATGGCCAGGTCAGTGGTGCATTTCTGTCTATTGCTGGGTCCATAGAGTTTGCAGTCTGTCTCTGGGAATAGTTTGCTAAGAGCTCCTTGATGAGCCCAGAGAGGCTCTGAGGTTAAGAGCACTTGTTGCTTTCCCAGAGGACCTGGGTTAGTTCTCAGCATCCATCTGGTGGCTCATAGCCATCTGTTAGTCCACTTCTAGGGTTCGTAAACTCTCATCTGGCCTCCGCAGGCACTAGACACAGAGATGGTACACACACATACACCCAGGCAAACATGCGATATTTATCTTCCAAGTATAAAACCACAACATCAGGGAGGGCCATACAATTGACCAGCCTTTCTCCTTTAGAAAAGTTCGTCCTTCTTAACAACATGTCTGGCAAAAAAAGATGGACATTCTCTCAATAATCAAATTAACTAATTTTTCTTTTTTTTCTTTTGGTTTTTAGAAGGCAGAGTTTCTTTGTGTAGCCCTGGCTGTCCTAGAACTCACTCTATAGACCAGCCTGGTCTTGAACTCAGAAATCCACCTGCCTCTGCCTCCCAAGTGCTAGAATTACAGGTGTGTACCTCCCCACCAGCCTTCAATTTCAGTATTTTTTCTTTCTGGAAGCTTGGAAGATCTTTATATGCGGAAGGACACTCTCCAACTTTACTCCTATTTTCTCTTATTGAACTGTCTGTGCTACAGAGCAAACAAACCCAGCTGTTCTAAGAATTCCTTACAGCTGTTTTGGTTTGCATGCAAATTTCCTGCATAAACTCATGTGTTTGAAAACTTGGTTGCCAGCTGGTGGTGCTGTTTTAGAAGCTTGGTGACTTTTGGGAGGTGGAGCCTCATTAGTGGGAGTGGCCACTGAGGACAGATCTTCAGATTTCATAGCCTGGCTCTGCTTCCCCTTCTGCTGCTTCTTAAATGCAGGTGCAACTTCACCAGTTACCTAAAACCCCTGTCTCTCTGCCTTCCCCATCATTGCGGGCTCTGTCCTTTCTTAAACTGTGACCCAAAGCAAACCCTCCTTTGCATAAGCTGCTTTTGTCAGGTGTTTTGTAAGAGCAGCGCAAACACTGACACACAGGGTAAAGCACCGTTGTCTCTGTGTTTTGGTGGGCACCTGCAATCGCAGTAAAAGGCCATCTTTGGTGCAGCATGAAAGCTATCACACCCCACTGCTGACCCCGAGGCAGCAGAGTGAATATCTGAAAAACCTGCTTGCTCTTTCAGGTGGTTTCAGATCATTTACTAGGGCATTTGAACACCGAGGTTATGCTAATCACAGAACTGTGAGGATGGATCCCTCTGCCATTGAAGGCCTAGTGATCGGGACCATTCTCTGCAGACACCGTGGTGTGGATTAAAGTGGACAAAAGGGATAACCTTGTCAGTTGTCATAGCAGGTGAAATAATTTTACACACTATGAAAGAAAGAGCAGAAGAAAAACAAATCCTAATATTGTCTAGGCCAAAACAGGCATTTTAGGAGGAAAAGGGCCTGTAAAAAACAAGCAGACACTGATGGGTATGTTCAAGTGAGTGTTACATTCATTGAGTGTTATATCCATAGCTTCTGTAGTTTTATCAGAAACAATTTTGATAAATCCTATGTTTAAATTATATTTCTTTCTTTGTGGGTGGCAGGGGGTGGCGATGTGCATGCTCTGGTGTACACGTGGAAATCAAAGGATAACTTACATAAGTTGGTTCTCACCTACCTGAATTCCGGAGACGTACTTGGGTCATCAGGTTTGGCAGCTAGCACTTCCAGCCACTGAGCTTTCTCTCCGGCCTCAATTCCAACAAATCCTGCTATCAAAATTTTCATACTTTTCTTTGCAGACAAACAAGTCCACAATATTTTTTAATTTCTAAATTTTTTTTGGAAATAAAAGTTTTTACGTTGCATTTCTTTGTTGAGGAGTTACTTTAGTGAAACCAATATAAAACATCATGAATTTTTTTT